CCCCAAAACCCCAAAACCCCAAAACCCCAAAACCCCTTAAAAATATTTCTAGTTGAATAGCGAAGGTCTTAAATTCTAAAATAAACCTGAGTGTTTGTAGAACAAATTTTGGTGAAAAGAGAATTTCAGACCTTCAGTTTGGCAGACCGAGAAGCAGGGAAGGATTTTAGGTGAGCAAGAGAGATACTGCAGGAAAGACGACTTTTGAATAAGAGTTTGAATGGTTTATTTTGCTAAAGTATTGAAAATGAGGTGTATTCTGTTTTGAAATGGTTATTTTAAGAAATTTTGTTCATGGAAGGTCTTCAGCATTTTGTAGAATTTGGAGTTTTGTAGTCGCTTTGGGATTTCAAGCTCTTTGGTGTTCTTAAGCTGGGGATGTAGATTTCTTTGGGTTTCGTTTATTCTTGCTGTTATATTTTTGTTTTTGGACTCAAACAGAATTTCTTCGATAATCTAGCATATTTAGGGTTATAGTTTTGAAAATTAGTTTGTGGTGTAAGAATGTCATGATTTAGAGGCTGAGGGGAAAGATGCCTCTGATGTTTGCTAGTATTATTCCTCCTCTGATATTTCTTGTTGCTCTTCTGAATAAATCTTCTCGGCAAGATTCTGCCTGGAGTATTCTGGCTTAATAAATACTTCACTCTTTTGCGAACGGCGAGTTTTAAATAATCAAATTTTTGAATCTTTTCATATAAAATCTCTTTAAAAGGTTTTTTGGCAGGGATTATGTTCTCTAAATCAGATTAGGAAGAATGAACTTGAATAATTCAGCTATTAGAGCTTAAAGCTTACCCAAATGACGGTACTGGACTATATCATTTTTAGTGTCTAAATCATTGATATTAGAAAGAAAAATGTTATTTAATTTTTTTTATTTCATAATCATACAAACTTGTGTAACCTACTAATCTCAACGAAACTAGCCCAGCATTGTATGGCTGAGCAACAGAAGTAAGTAATAATTATAGAAATATTTTATCACCAAAAAATTCTTAAAATTAAGAATAAAGTACTGGGTTTACTTCCAAAAGCCTTCACCAAATTACTTGAAAAAATTGTTATATTTCATTTCAATTCATTTATGGAAGTCTTGCTAGCGTTCTATTCAGAGGAAGACAGTTAAATCCTCGATTCTTGATGCAGGAATGCATGCAAATTATTGATGGAAATAAATGATGTATAGTTTACAACATGTTTATTAAACTTATTGTAGAGAGCTATGTCTTACCTGGATCAAGCCCCAGGATTATTTTCTGTACCCAAGGACTTGGCTCAGCTATAACTCCAAAGGAGATTTTATCATAATCTTTCTTAACCCAATGAGTCTCTCTTGAATTTGGACTGTGGTAAGTAGTAGAGGAGAGTCTTAACATTTTAATTGTAATTTAGTTTATAGTAAATTCTATATAAACCTAAAAAATGGGGTTTTGGGGTTTTGGGGTTTTGGGGTTTTGGGG